GCATAAATTAGAAATAAATTAGAATGGCACAAGGCCCTTTGAAATACAACCTTTTGTAAGGGCTTACTAATGTCGTAATCACTGGATACTAATGTTATGCATCTCCCTTTCAAACCATATCCTGCTCTAGATATGATTTAAGGTCCATGTACTTTCTCTACATGTAACAAGGATTATTGCCAAGAGAAATCTTCAGCTTCCCATTCAGAACAGCAGCATGAGGAGGCTGTGCCTCAAGTCAGAATCCTGCCCTGCATCTCCTGATCTGAACATAATCAGCAGGAATATGTATTTAGTAGAAAATCTGATGAGTATTTATACATGCATATAAGTATGATCTGAATAGCATCTTCCCAAGGGACTGCATTCTGGTTTAAAAATTCAAATACAAGTTACTGAAGAAATTGCTCAACTGATTATCATACCTTCAGACTATGTCTATCTATATATATATACTCACAGAGACGAATAGAGGATATATGCATATTCATGTACAGAGTAGGGGAACTATGTCTAAATATATGAAGGATGACTTGTTATGCTCTTCAACATAAGATTATTTTTTCCAAGGGCAATAGAGTATTTCTCAAAAACAAAAAAACAAACAAACAAACAAAAAACTAGCTATTTTCTAGACCTATAAAATGATGCCTATACATCATGAAATGGGCAGGATGATAAGATCTCTAGTGAAAGGCTAAATCTAAATCCAAAATTTTCTAATTATGGTGCCAAACGTTAAGTACTTGAGTACTTGGTTATCTTGGTTATGCTGTGTTACCAAGATACAGTCAGGTTGCATTATCAGTCATTTCTAGAGAAGTCCAAAAGTTTATAAGTCCTCCAAATAGCAATCTGACAGTCTGAGAACCTCCCTTGCTGTGGAAAAAACAAAACAAAACAAAACAAAAAACAAACAAACAAAAAAAAACGCATAAACAAGAGCTACAGCTCAGGGAAAGAGGATGAAGTAATAATGAAAAAAATATACCAATTTACCAAATGAGGGCTAGTGGCAAATACTGTGCTAAGTATCAACTCTGGTTATTTTTGACTAAAATTGAGTCTTAGCTTGACAGCTTCATGTAGGCACCACACCAGGAGTGAAAATGACCTCAGGCACAGAGATAACCTGAAAATAACAACAAGCATTTAAACTGGTCGGAGGTGAAGAACAGAGAAGACCATGAATAAAGTCAGAAAAGAAAAAAGGTGGATAAAAACAGGGCTGGGGAAAGATTCCATTATAAGAGATAATGGTTTTATCTCATGACAAGTGGGATTAAAGCAATGTACTGCCAAGTCCATGTTCCACAGAGGACTCAATACACTTTACCGTGTGTTCTATGACAACTGGTATTAGGTGATAAACTGCATGTCTTTGGTCTTGAATTAATTTGTGTGCTTCTATAGTGTTAAATATTTTACTATTGCCAGAATGATTGTCTTATTCAAAACCGTGTAGCATCTAGAAGGCCTGCTGTTACACCATTACATCACCTGTATAAACTAGGCAACACCTAGCACCATGATTCTCTGGAGCATCCCACCACTTACTCCTGTATTCCTTATTGCTTTATTTACAATTAGTTTAATATTAGTTAAAGGCTAGAAGAGATATTCAGTACATTAAAGAATTATTGCATTGCCTCATCATGGCATTTCCTGTCACATGCTCATTATTGAGAAAAATCATCAGCACATCCAACTTCCCAAAATCCTAACCAAGCAAGGAAAGGAATAAATAAAATTCCTCTGTGGTATTAACATTATTCCTTTCTTTAGTAAGATTCTCTGAAATATCAGAATTTACTCCACAACACAATGTTTGCAGCTCCAGCAGGCTTTCAGATTAAAAAGCAAGACTTAATTTAAAAGAATTTACATATCCTTAAATGCTTCTTCAGACTGGTCACCTCCACACTGCCTGGCAATTTATACTGGACACTGAGGTTCTGAGTTCCTTTGATTTTACTTCTCCATTCATAGACATATTAAAGCCTATTAGAGTACTTACGAACTCTTTTGATTCCTTGAGTTTTCAGTAAAATGTTCCAGATTCTACAAGGTATAAGAAATAAGGTCTGTAAGAATAATTCTGTGGGCTTTCTCTGCAATTTCCAGGAGCTGATAAAAAACATTTCCTGTGGATATCATTCTGAAGTGGTTTGATGATGTTTTTGTTTGTTTGTTTGTTTGTTTTTGTTTGTTTGTTTTTTTTTGTGGTGGTGGGTACTTATTGTTGTTTGTTTTATATTTGCATCCATTAGGAAACAAAGACCTTCCATAAAAGTAACTGCGATGACATTAGTGAGAAATGAACAAAATCTAGAACAATTGCATTACTTTTAACTTTTGGAACATATTAATAGAGATATACTATTTTTAAACATAATTGGTTAAGAAGTCCAGTGTTTAAAAACAAAACAAACAAAAAGTAAAAATAAAAAAGCAGTGGGAATTGTGTTCATTTATGTGCATAACACTTCCACCTGGACTGTCTCCAATCTGAGTAGCAAATGCTCTGTCAGGATACTGCTGTTGCTCTGTGTAAACAGATTGTCCTCACAGAATCACAGAATATTAGGGATTGGAAGCATGTCATTGACCTAATAGAGAATTCAAAGTATTGTCTCACTGCTGCAGAATGGACCAAGGCCTTTACAAGTTAGTTAATATTTTAAAGTTCTTGTTATATTTTGATATATATATATATATATTTTTTAAATAACATATAAAAAGTTGTAAAATATAACTGTGATAACTTAACTATGCAAAAACACTACTTTTATTAAGGGAAAAATGCAAAAAAAAATCTCCATGGATCCAAGATAATCTGCATAAGGTTTTCTAGAGAAAACACGGTAAAACAGTGTTTGTGAAAATGGTCTATAAAATGGAAGGACTGAAGCTACTCTCTCTCTCTGTATACATACGCATATTTGTATGTTATTCACAGCAGCATTTGACTGGAGTTGCATACAGTGTTACTGAACACGGAGGCTCTACATAAGCCTTGGCAGAACACCCTGGTCTATGTTAGCTGCATTTATCTGCTGAATTTTTCAGCACAGGTTTCAGCTGAGTTTTGGATGTGGCTCTAACATGACAGCTTTGGCTTCTGTAATAGATCCTGATATTTTCTATTCTTTTGAGCAAAAGATCCTACAAGAGTGGTAAAATCAACAAAAAGGCCTGTCCAAGTACAAGACAAAAAAAAATGGACAAAATATAGGAAAGAAGTAGTTAGCTAGGATCCAATATATCTGCTCAGCTACTCCACAAGATGGTCTATAGCATTTACAACTTGAGAAAAAGAAGTAAAAGCAGAGAGAAAGCAGCCAAATTTTATTTCAATGCTGATCTTATCTTTTGTAACTTTTTACATTCTCATATATATTTGGGTTTATATTTCACGTTTTTCTTCTGGTACTTCTTTGTCTCATTAATGTAATATAACAACACTGCACATGAAAACAGCCTTTTTTTTGAAACTTTGCTTTGAAGTAATACAACTACTGCTTTAAGTTTTCTCTACTGTAAAATACCTGGAAGAAATAATACCATACAAATTTGAAATACCAATTATTAAAATTGCATAAATGAAGGTGAATGAATAAAATTTAATTCCCCAAATTGATGAAATATTCACTTTCTATGACATTAACAGATGATCTACAGAGATGAAGAATGAGTCTGGCTTTGGTTTTATGGCTGAAGCTTATTGTACATGAAGGACAAACACAAGATTATCTGTGAATTAAGGGGATAATCAGGCAACACCTAATTGTTAAAGCTGGTTTCTTATATTCAACCAGACTGCCTTGTAAATCACACATACACCATTTTCTTGTTTAAGTTTCTGATTTTCTTATAATAATGACAAATTATAAACCAGTTAATCCCTGGGACAGGGACATTCACTCTGGGGAAAAAAAAAAAAAAAAAAAAAGCACGAGCTGAAAACAATCTCTGAAGTTTCTTCTGTGACTAGATTTAAAGGGATTATTCTGGGGAAATTAAAATTTTAATTATGCCTGAAAACAGAAAACTCACTGTTAAGTAATGGTACTGATCTAAGCAGAATACACATTACCCACAGAGTCTCTGTGATATCTGTGGAAAAGTATCTTATTCTGGATTTGCAAATCCTATTCTGTTTCACTTCAAGACTTCTCTCTGGACTGTTTTTCACAGAATTGCAATGAAGTTTTTTTTGCAGCCTGGGGTTTTGCAATTCTTTTGCAATAAAGATTTCCCAGGAGTGCTGTAATCTGAAGAAAAGATGAGATCTAAGAGTTGTTTTTTTTTTTGTTGTTGTTGTTGTTGTTGTTTTTTGCTTGTCTGTTTTTTAGTTTAAAAGAAATACATCAAAACCCTGAAGCATTGCTTTATTCCTGAATCCAGATGTAACTTATTTAATAGTTTTACAGGGAAAAAGAAACTGAGAATAGAATCACAAAACTATTGAATGTTTGAATGCAAATTATGTTGTATGCATACCAGAGTAATACATAGCCTAGTCTTTTTTTGGGTACATTTTGGGTAAACATGGGTTCCAATCCTCTTAGAGGAGATAATACAAGAAGATCTGCAGGCAAATTGAAAATTAATTACTGAGACAACCTTGCCCTGAAAAATAGTTGAGACTTGAATAATTTAGAAAGTACATCTGAAAGCATGCATTATTTGAGAGCAGAGCTGAGAGTATGCTAACAGGGACGGGGTGGTGACTGGAGGTGTGCCAGACCACCATCAGTCAGTCAGTTGCTGCAAGAGGACCATGCAGGCATCTCCACGTTATGACGAGTGACATGGTAAGGAAGAAACCTGCTGTGCTATGTACGCAAGGAAGATTACCTTTGCAATCTGAAATTGAAGTTACATGTATGACTTACATAACTTCAGACATAGAATAGGAAAGCCCTACGTAGCACCTAGAAATTCTATGACCTGTTTTTAAACATATTGTCCTATCTCGATATGTTTTTATTTTACAGGAGACTATGTAGTCATGTCTGTTTACTTTAACCTGAGTAGGAGAATGGGTTATTTCACTATTCAGACCTACATTCCCTGCACACTTATTGTTGTGCTGTCCTGGGTCTCTTTCTGGATTAACAAGGATGCAGTTCCAGCCAGAACATCACTGGGTGAGTTGTTTTACCTTCCTGCTTTTGTTCAAGCATTATGATGTTCAGTTAATACCTCTATAGAGGTTTCTAAATATAAGAGAAAAGACATTTTTTCACAAGTTCTCATCATTTAGAAAGATGTAATCATTTCCAAGGAACAGCAACTTAAAGCATATTTCTCTCTCTTCCATTTTACTATGGCAGACTAGGAGTATTGTAGATTGCCTCTAATAAAAGCTTTTGCCCCTTTTCTGATAACAGTAGTATTTTATAAACGCCTAAACACTTCTGGATTAGGCACAACAATGCATTAGTTTTATTTGTTCTACTTCTAAATGATAGTGGTCAGCAATACAAATGAAATAAATGCCAAGAATGAAACAATCTCTCTGTGTGACAGTTAAAAGGAGGAGTGTAATACCTTCAAGGACCAAAAGTCAAATCTAGCCTTCAGACCACAAAATCTACTGAATTTGGTGGCATCTAAAATCCTATGCATGTAAATGTGACATGCAATTAATCCAAATTAGCAATTTCTACACAGTTAGCATGCTGTTGCACAAATAAACTAAGAGATACCAAATTCACTTGCTTGTACAAATCAATTGGATCTGTAAGAATTAATAACGTGGAAACCTGATTGTGGAGGCAGGTAGAAACACTCAATTTTTTACTTCTCAATTAAAGCCACACAAATAAAAAACATTAGTTTTTCATTTTGCAGTTATATTTCTTCGTAAAAATGCAGCAAAGAGCACTGGATTACAAAATAAAGGACAGCATTTTGCTTAAGAGCTCCCTTGAAAGAATATTCCTTGAGGAGTAGAGAAGCAGTGGGCCCCATAACAAAAATGTTTTAAATGTTTTATTGCCTTTTCACACTAAAACAAGGTCATAAAATCAGGTTTTAAAAAAAGTAGATAATTAATAAATGCATTCAGCTCTTTTTGTTTGTTTGTTTAGATGTACAATACAGATTGGCCACTGTTAAGAACTAGTCTATCCATACCTCTGAGGGGGTGAAGTCAGTGGTTATGAAATTTGCCCTAAAAAAATGTGATGGATTTTAAATGTTCTAATGTATTTTTAATGTTCTTCACATGGCAGTACAGGGAATAATGTTCTGAAAGGAGAAAGGAAGGTGAGGCATGTCATAGTAGCTCTCAGTTATAGACTACAATTGCTTACAAAGGCCAGAAGAAACACTCTGGCACTGCGAGAAATCTGACCTCACAGCATGGCCCCCACAAAGAGTCCTGAGAGACTCTCCCATCCAGCTTTATTTACAAATCACTCAAATAACCAGCAGCAAAGAATGTGTGTGGGAATTTGGGGCTAGCATCTTTTGCGTACATTTAGAATGCATTTGAATGAGGAGAAAGGAAAGAGTCTTCTTTCTTTATGTGGCACACATGGAGATATATACACAACCTCTCCTAAATTTTTATCTTCATTACAAGCTTTCTTAAGAATTTTCATGAATTTCTCTCTCGTATAATGTCTGTAAATGTGTTTCTTACTGGCGCTGTTACCATTACCCATATCAATTCAATAAATGAAACTTAACCTAACAGCGTGGAAAGTTTTAGATGGGCCTTGAGAATACAATGAAGAATAAACTGAAGCAATAGACCTATTTCTATTCTCTGCTATGACTTCTCACTCTGATAGAAGTTTTCGTCTCCCTGTTTAAGTAGACAAGTACACAAACCCTAAAACTCAATTTCTCAGTTAAAAATAAACTAAGGATGCCTAAAACCTAAACTACATAAATAAATAAATGAAATTCTTAAAACCAGAATGATGAACATATTTTGCAGGGCAACACTCTCAGTGACTATGCAAAAATGATTTTCACTCCCTGTTAATCTTTGAAGCTTTCACTTGTATCCACATTTCACTGCTTGGGATGTGCTGTTTGACATTTTTGCTGTATGTCAGAACTCCAGCCATCCTTCAGAAACAGTCAGAGACAACTGGAAAAGTTGTTTTGTTACAGGAAGTAATAACATTTCTGTTGTTTTTTGTCTATTTGCCAGGCATTACTACTGTCCTGACAATGACCACCTTAAGTACAATTGCTCGTAAATCTCTTCCAAAAGTATCCTATGTGACAGCAATGGATCTCTTTGTATCAGTCTGCTTTATTTTTGTTTTCTCTGCACTGGTGGAATATGGAACTTTGCACTACTTTGTCAGCAACAGAAAGCCAAGCAAGGATAAAGACAAAAAGAAGAAAAATCCAGTATGTATCTTTTTACCAGCAAGGTATAATATTCAACTAGGTTTACATCCCTCCTCAAACCTGTACTTTCATTTGAGAGTTTTCTATTACATATATACTCTTCTTTTGTACTACTAGGAATAAAAACATTCACCTTGATAATGAAAAGCTTATATATTAGTTGTATGGATGCCAGAGAAACTAATTTCTTAGAATAAGGGCCCTTTTAGCCAAATTGTTCTGCAAATCACAACTACCACCAAAACCCTTATTCATGTTATAGAAAGAGCTCTTGCTGTGACCTTTATGCAAGAACTGTCAGTTTCTCTGTTTTAACTTTGGTAATACTCTCTGCCATTAACTTATGTCTGTATTATTGATGTGATTCTGTTTTTATTAGTATCAGGACCACATGTAATCCTTTATATTCAACCTTTGGACTGTGCTTTTTTTCTAATTCCCCCTTAAGCATCTGTTTCCTTTTAATTGTTTCCTTATCTTCTTTTTCTTGTATTTTCTCCCTTCATCTATTTCTCTCTCTTTGAAGGTGACTTGGCAACAGTTTGCAATGTTACTTATACTTTTTGTTTTGTTTTGTTTTTAATTATTATTGTGTAGCATGCACCCATACAATAGCCACGCTGAAAAAAAATAATCCTGGAAATGCCCTCAGTAGAGGTCTGGTATCTTTCCCAGATAGGTAGAAATATGTGCTTGTCTTGGCCAGGACAAACTTCAACCCACTGCAAAAGGCAAAAAAGTGTGTTGTCTAGAACCTGTGAGGTGAAAAGAATTAGCGTAAAATACTAGATGGAAAAAAGTAACCCAATCTTCTTCAAAAAAAGCCAAATATGCCTCTGTAAAATGTGAAGGACACAATAGTTTTATATTAATTAAGAATATTTTCAAATCCATTTCAGACATCTAGGAAAAAAAATTGCTCTGCTAAAATCTTCAAGGACTTCTTAAGATATTCTCTCTTAGTTCTAATATATAGCAAATATAAACAAATACAACAAAATGTATTAAAGTCCCTTTTATTAAACATTATTTTTATAATTTCACCATCAGAAGTTTTTTGAGAAAGTCACTAAAAAAAAAAAGAATAGCAGATGTACACTGTAGTGAGTAAACAGCCAGCAAAGCATCCATAATGGAAGAATTTTCACCTTACTTTCAATTTGGATTTCATCATAGGCTCTCTTTTGGTCAAAAGAAATAAACACTTCTGGAGGGTGACACATTCTGGCCTGGCTCAGGTTCTTTGTGTGCACCTATGTTTTCCATATGCAAAAGAGCAAAGATTAACTCAAAATGAGTTGAGTTAGAGATTGTTCTTTACCTTACTTATCAGTGACCATCCAGGGACAAACAGAAATATAACGGATGCCCAAATCCTAAACCCAGAGTCTAGAAATCTTAAGAGTACAGTCTTCAGCACCCAGTCTGCAGGTAAAGAGATTTTTTTCATAAGTTGTGATCAGTTTCCTCTTTTAAAACAGTTCAACATAAAAGAATGAAATCTACCGGGAATATGAAAAGATCAAATGAAGTTTGATGTTCTGTCTTTGGCCCAGATGTAGCTACAACCCAGTTACAAGACAAAAATATGTGGTTTTATATCATAGATACCTGTTGAAATGGCTATTACCCCAACCTTTCTATAAATTTAGTTCTTTTTGACTATGTTTTAGAAACATATTTTTAATTTATATTATTTCTTTCTCTTTCTTTCTTTTCTTTCTTTCTTTAATTTAAAACAAAATCCTCTGATTCTCTTTTCTGTCTACAAAATGAAAGCTTCTTCGGATGTTTTCCTTCAAGGTATAAAGTTTTTGGAATGGAAATTCACTGCATGCAACTGCTGAATTTAACTATTATAGCTTACATGAGAGTGCTATTGTTTGTTTGTTTGTTTTTAATTAGACATCCATTCTACCCAAGGCAACTTCCTAATTAAGTAGAATGATTACGTATTTCTAAATAATATGTAGAGTTGATTCAGCAGCCCAAATACTGATTCACTATAGTTTTGAACTTACCCTAAGTTCAAGAGTGACCAACATTATTGGATCGCATGAATTAAGAGAGTTTAATGTGTTGAAAACATTTCTGCTCGTCTCTTACTCAATTGCCCATGGGATCCAATGCCACCAGCTACACCAGAAACCTGCACTACACCCTTTTAGAACTCAGCTCTGATCATTCTGTTTAACCTTTGCTATTTAGCTTCAAATTATAAAACCAAATCTGGTCTGATATTGACCTGAACAAAATTCGTTGTCATCATCAAATGCTGTTTCTTAAGAAAATAAATAAATAATTTTTTAAAAGTCAGAGTTTTGAAAGGGTTTAAGATGCATATGTTTATTAATGCTGTCACTGGATCAATACATTCTCAGCAAATAAGCAAATATATCTATGTTCTACATCTAAATCTTATCTTCATTCAGAAATGCAGAGATTTTCTTAAAAAAAAAAAATAAAAAAAAAAAAACACAACCCAACATATCAAATGAAAGCCAAGAAATTTACATACTCATGGAATCAAATTATTGTAATTTTACCCTAGTATCTATCACCAAGAAATTATAAGACTTTTCATACTAATGTTCACCAACTGCTTAATCATACTTTAAATGTTTAATTTGCTCAATTCATTCCAAATATATGTATATGTATACTTACCACATAATATCTGGAACACACTGAATCTTCTAGTTGGTGAACATTAGTAGATGGTGAACTGCATGTATTCAAACTGTTGTAGAGTCTTTTCAAGATTCTCCTAACCTTATTCAAAAGACTCACTTTTTGCCTTTTTTTTCCATATATATATTTGCCCATGTCTAAACATGAACCAGCCCTATATTAAAAATAATCCTGCATTTCCAATTGATTATTTCAGTGCTGTCCACATGCAACACCCAAATTGCCTTCATGTACCAAGCAACTATGTAAAGTCTAAAACAAAATCCATTCAAAATACCATCAATTACGTTCCTGAATGTTTACTTCAACCTCTATTGTGTACTTCGGCATTAAAGTTAATCGTCCACAACTGTTAACTTGATATTGATTTGTGCTGCTTTCCTGTAAAATTAAAATGTATGACACAACTGATTTTAACAAGTTCAAGGTAATATTACCATTAGAACTTCTTAGCAATTTGCCATGTATCCCACACAGAACCATCATTCACATGTTGCCCATTAGTCTGTCTCCCTGTTGGTCTGGTGATAATAACAGAGTGTCTCCCTCCTGCCATCTTTTTCTTTTTTGCCACTTCACCTTAGGCACCTACAATTGACATCCGACCTCGATCAGCTACTATTCAAATGAACAATGCTACACACCTCCAAGAAAGGGATGAAGAATATGGGTATGAGTGTCTTGATGGCAAGGACTGTGCTAGTTTTTTTTGCTGCTTTGAGGATTGTCGAACAGGAGCATGGAGGCACGGAAGAATACATATCCGCATTGCCAAAATGGACTCCTATGCCCGCATCTTCTTCCCAACTGCCTTCTGTTTGTTTAACCTGGTGTATTGGGTATCATATCTTTACCTTTAAATGCAAAAGGAAATCAGTGATATGAGCCTTACTCACTGAATTTCTTAGAGAGATGGTTTCCTAAGTCCACTTGAAGTATTTATGACGCGCTTTATAGTGGTCTGAATTCTTTAGTACCATTACCCAGTAAATATCAGTCATATCATTTGTCCAAAAATTACCATCAGGTTGTTGTGAATTAAATGTCCGTTCAACATGTTGAAATAATTTGAAATAAAAATCTTATAAATAGGTAATATACAGCTATACCTGATGGAATAGAGAAACAGAGCAGACAGGGCAAGGGGAGCATGGCAACATCACTTAAGTTGGCACTGCCATTTCAAACAGAAGTGACAGAGAGAATTCCCAGGTAAAGTACTGTACAGTTTGTTAACATTGGCTATAATTATGCTATAGCTTTATTCTCTGTGGGCTTTTCTTTTTGGAAGAGTCATCTCTCACTTTGAATAGGTATTATTAAGCTAGGAAAGTAACTTCTACTCCCACCAAAATAAAAATAGACCTTTCCCTTTGCCATCCCTTTAAGAGCACATGTACAATGCTGTAAATATTTCAATACCTTGTAGTACATAAAGTCTAGTGCATGCATCTTCTGGGGGCCAAAATAAATGAAACAAAGGTACCATAAAGTATTGTCTTTTATTTTGTGTCTCTGGCTGTGCTATTGTAATTTAAATGTGGATTAAAAACATTTTTCCTTGAAAAATTTTCCCTTTCCCTCATGCATGGAAGACCCAAGCAGACAGCACTTTCATGTAAAACATTAGAGAAGCCTTAAGGATTCAAATAAATAACATGTAGACAAATCTGTATGGCCAATATAATAGCTCATAGTATACGTCTGCTGCAGTTTTAGCCTTCATTTTCCATTTATAATGTTTCTATATTTCAACTGAATTTCCAGTAATTATACATCGCAAGATCAGCTTCTAAATTTAATCCATGTGTTTCCATTGTTTTTTCCCATGTTGAACTCTTTGAACTCTATTTTCCTCACACAAGGTTGTTTTTTTCCCCTCTTCAATCCAGTCAGGAAATAGCTTTTATTGTAGACATTTTTACATAAGGACTTCAAGTTCATTTTGAAATACTAGGTTTTGTATTATGTATATGCATACAACTCTCTGCCCATTTATGTCATTGATCAGCAATAGTTGTTGCTAGTGATGCTTTTCACTCTGTGAGTACCTTTACTAAACAAACCCTAACACCATAGCTAGCACACAGTTTATAGATAGCCTTGAAAATAAAAGAGAACAAAGAGTGTCTTGGCTACTAAATCATAGTTACGCAGTTTATGTGTATTTAAAAAATTCAGCCCACCTGGCTGAATCTTGAAACCCACTTACCCACTGGTTTTCAGAACCTCTATGACGCTCAATTATGCAACCTTAAGCACATGTAAATATGACTGACTTCTTTTTTAATTATTGTCAAAGATGTAAAATGTCACCTCCAGAAATGTGAGTTTGCAAATTGAAATGGGAGATATTCAATTATCATTACAGAATTACTAATAGCTAAAATGGAGAAAAAAAAAAAAAAAAAAAAAAAAAGAAAAAAAAAAAGGAAGTTTTCAAATGTTTGTATAGTTTTGAAATAAAAATGTATAAAAAAGGAATAACCTGAACATCAATTGCTCCTTGTCCAATATATCTGAAAACCTTTTAATAAAGGAATTGCACACACCTGTGGACTTTTTCCAATAAAACTGCTGCACTCAACTCCACAGTTTTCTTGTAGTTGGTTTGTTAAAATCATACTTGAAGGAGTAGACATTTTGAAGATGCTGGATTCATCAGTTGCCTAAATATAACTGATTATAATCCTCATAACCCTCCGTGTTGTCTTATTTTGTAGTCAAATGGCTCACTCATGTAACTTTCATGGTTGGAGACTAAATCTTTGAAAGCATTTTTAAGATTATCTTATTCTTAAATAAATAAATAAATAAATAAAAAATTAAAAAAAAAGAGTTGGAATCATCCCAAGAAAAAAAAAAAAGAGAACTTTTTTCCTTCTCCACTTATTCCCTGAATAAGTTTCAATCATCTTTCACATGGAAGTGCATTTCAGCTGCTGCCAGACTGTTCAACAAATAATTATTTTTTTCCAGTGGTCATTGACATAACAGCTTTCTGTTAGTTCCTTACATTTAATGAGTGTGGCTGATGTTAAATATGTAAGAATTCAATTTTTACCTGTATCTTTTTCTTGTTATCAAATAGCTTTTATACAGATCACTATGAGTATCAGCCTAAATCAGGCCTTTAATTTGCTGAGGTCAAGTGTATTTCAGTTAACATTTTTAGATTTTTTTTTTTCTGTCAAGACCAGTGAAACTAAGGATTCGGTCACTCAAAATTCTTTACACTAGTTCAGCCAGCAGACCGCATGTGCCTGTAGAAGGCCTGAGGCATGGCAGAATTGCACGTAGTACTGAGGAAAGAGCAATCAATGTGGCCTCCTCCTTCCAGAAAGGAAGGAGATGAGTTAAAAATTACAGAAAAGTAATGCCACCCCTGTAGTTAAGAATTTGAGTGACCGTTTATCACCATCTATCACTAGACAAAGTAGAGCACATAAGCCCTTCCTCATTCATGACCCAACACAGTGGCTTCTACCACTTTGATTTAGGTGATTTGTAATTTCTTCTTGGGGCAGATACATGAGACTCAAAAAGACATTTCATGGAGAAACATGTAATTACCAGTAAGGATGTGACACCAAAGCACAATGCAATGTTCTCTGAGCAAAAAGTTTTGTGTTATGAACAGAGACTGCATTAGCTATTCAGCACAGAACCAAAAGATGACCCTTGTATTGTAAAGTTAAACTGCCATCAAAGCAACTAAACAGCAAGCAAAAATACCATTTGGGTTACATAAAAAATACTATTTGGGTTATATAAAATACCATAAGGGTTATTATTCAGGATAAAACTGCTCAGAAATTGAACTATAAAGACATTCACACATATTTATATATATATGTGCACTCATATATTATACACATTAACCCATTCCAGCTGCATTCTAGGGAAGAAAGTCCTCACTCAGCAGAATTGTTAAAATGTGTTCATCACACTGCAGACTTCTACTACAGCTCTGGGATATGTCTGTGGATATTCAGATGGTCATTAAGAGTTTTGTCAAGAATACACTAATGGCAAAATAATTTGTGTTCCAAGAGTATGTAGATGTCCCAACCAAGACAGGGCATTCATATCCCAGTGATTATATCATATATGACATAATGACATAACAAATCAACAGAGAACACCCTGAAAGTTTTTATAAATCTTCAAAAACATATAGTCCTAAGTTTCTAAGTTTTCTTGGCCTTGAGATTAACTCCCCTTGTCCTTATGGGGGACTTCAACCTGCCAGACGTTAACTGGGAGTGCCACACGGCTGACACGAGCAAGTCCAGGAGGTTCATGAAGCACCTAGATGATAACTTCTTGGTGCAGGTGCTAACGGAGCCAACTAGGAAAGGTGCCCTCCTAGACCTGTTGCTAGAAAACAGAGAGGGTCTGGTGGGAGATGTGGTGATTGGTGGCCGCCTTGGTCATAGCGACCATGAAGTGGTTGAGTTCAAAATTTACGGTGACAGAAGGAAAAGTGCCACCAAAACCTCATCCCTAGATATGGGGAAAGCGGACTTCAGGCTGCTCAGGGAACTAGTCAGCAAGGTCCCCTGGGAAGCTGCTCTTGAAGGCCTCAATGTCCACCAGTGCTGGTCATTCTTTAAGCGATGCCTCCTAGAAGCACAAGATCAGGCGATTCCTAAATATCGCAAGTCAGGCAGGCGGGGCAGGAGGCCGGCGTGGCTGACCAGGAACATTCTGATGGAGATTAGGCGGAAACAGAGAGTGTTTCGCTACTGGAAGGAGGGCCGGGTGACATGGAAAGAATACAGGGATGCTGTTCGTGTTTGTAGGGAGAAAATTCGTGTGGCTAAAGCACACCTAGAGTTGAAGCTCGCTGTGTCTGTGAGAGAAAATAAAAAGGGTTTTTTTAGATATGTGAATGGAAAAAGGAGAACTAAAGAATACATAGGGCCGCTCCTTGATAGGGAAGGTCTTCCTCACAGACAATGACATAGGCAAAGCAGAGACGCTTAACGCCTTTTTTTGCCTCTGTTTTCAATGCCGATGATGGGCTTCGGGACCCAGGGTGCCCTGAGCTGGAGGACCGAGATGGTGGGGATGACAAACTCCCAACCGACCCTGAACGTGTGCGGGATTTGCTACTCCACCTGGATCCCTACAAGTCCATGGGTCCGGATGGGATTCATCCCCGGGTGCTGAAAGAGCTGGCGGACGTCATCGCGGAACCTCTCTCAATTATTTTTCAACGATCCTGGGAATCTGGAGAGGTCCCGGTAGACTGGAAGCTGGCAAATGTTGTGCCGATTTTCAAGAAGGGTCAGAAAGAAGACCCTAGCAATTACAGGCCTGTCAGTCTCACGTCAGTGCCTGGTAAAATCATGGAGAAGATGGTTCTCGAACTTATTGAGGCGCACCTGGGGGACAAAGCAGTCATTGGTCCCAGCCAGCATGGGTTTGTGAAGGGTAGGTCCTGCCTAACTAACCTGATTTCCTTTTATGATAAGATCACCCGTATGGTGGACCAAGGGAAACCAGCTGATGTGATTTTTTTGGACTTCAGCAAGGCTTTTGACACGGTTTCCCATAGGATCCTACTGGACAAAATGTCCACCATACAGCTAAATAAAAACATCATACGATGGGTGAGCAATTGGCTAACAAGCAGGGCCCAAAGGGTTATGGTGAATGGCGCTGCGTCAGGCTGGCGGGCGGTCACCAGTGGGGTCCCTCAAGGCTCCATTTTAGGGCCGGTACTTTTCAATATTTTTATAAACGATCTGGATGTAGGAATAGAAGGTATTTTGAGCAAGTTTGCTGATGACACCAAACTTGGAGGAGTTGTGGACTCTGTTGAGGGTGGAAAGGCCTTGCAGAGGGATCTGGATAGGGTGGAGAGCTGGGCGATCACCAACCGCATGAAGTTCAATAAGAGCAAGTGCCGGGTCCTGCACCTGGGACGGGGAAACCCTGGCTGCACGTACAGACTGGGCGATGAGACGCTGGAGAGCAGCCTAGAAGAGAGGGATCTGGGGGTCGTGGTAGACAGCAAGTTGAATATGAGCCAGCAGTGTGCCCTGGCAGCCAGGAGGGCCAACCGTGTCCTGGGGTGCATCAAGCATGGCATCGCTAGTAGGTCGAGGGAGGTGATTGTCCCGCTCTACTCTGCGCTGGTGCAGCCTCACCTCGAGTACTGTGTGCAGTTCTGGGCACCACAGTATAAAAAGGACATGAAACTGTTGGAGAGTGTCCAGAGGAGGGCTACGAAGATGGTGAAAGGCCTGGAGGGGAAGACGTACGAGGAACGGCTGAGGGCACTGGGCCTGTTCAGCCTGGAGAAGAGGAGGCTGAGGGGAGACCTCATCGCAGTCTACAACTTCCTCGTAAGGGGGTGTCAGAGGCAGGACACCTTTTCTCCATTAACACCAGTGACGGGACCCGCGGGAACGGGGTTAAGCTGAGGCAGGGGAAATTTAGGATTGACATAAGGAGGGGGTTCTTCACAGAGAGGGTGGTTGCACACTGGAACAGGCTCCCCAGGGAAGTGGTCACTGCACCGAGCCTGTCTGAATTTAAGAAGAGATTGGACTGTGCACTTAGTCACATGGTCTGAACTTTTGGGTAGACCTGTGCGGTGTCAAGAGTTGGACTTGATGATCCTTAAGGGTCCCTTCCAACTCAGGATATTCTATGATTCTATGATTCTACATAAAAAGCTGATATTCAGAGAGAACATAACTCAGCAACAGTTCTGTCATCAAAATGTGGCAACCACAAATGACAGATGATATTCTAACTAGTCAATATCAAAGAATTTTGATTCTGTACAGTACAAAGTGCTAACGCCTCCTCAAGGCACTGTTCCCAGCTCATGATATACAAACACACACACAAGGTGGTTTTGTTTCCTTTTTCAATCCACTTGCCTGCCCCATGTTATGAGTATTTTATTTCTATCACATTTTTCCACAGCCACATAAATCTATGTAACTTGAATGAACTGGTCAAATATTCTGTGTGTAACAGTTACAATGACACATCCATAGCAGCAAATATTTGGCATACACGGAACGTACAAATATTTGGACCTCCTTTGCACTATGCCCCAAAGCCCTTCAGTCTAAAAACATAGAAAAAGGAAAAAAGAAAAAATAGTTACAAAAAACTCCAGCAAATGAATAACACAAGTAATGGAACAAGAAAGCTCTGTTAACTGCACAGATTTTAGTAGCTGGCATCACTCTACATGGAACCACTAAAAGAATGAGGAAAAACAGAACTGTTTTACCACAAAAGCTGGGGTTTGTAGGATCATGAAGAAGAGCTGTAAAGTGGGATTTGAAAGAGGGTAAACAAAGAATTCCAAGTTTGCTGGAGTGTTTCTCATGCAACAGAGGAAAGGCAGAACCAACTAATGCAGTCATTGTGGGAGAAGATGGTAGTTGAGGAATGAAATTAAGGCATGATGTGACACAAAAGCTAAGGTTGATATTGAGCTAATGTACCCTATCAAGCCTGCAGCTGAGGACTGAATTAGAGAAGCAACAGAAATAATTTACTGAATTAGGTACACCAACGGACTAAAGGGGCTGCTCAAAGCAACAAGCCAAGAAGAGAAGGTAGGAGGCAATACAACCCACAGAATGACAGAGTGATTGTGAGGGCCAGAATAATGAAGGCTGCAGTTCTCTGAACCAACTAGAGCATGTTTAGGGGTCAGGTTTC